GGTTCCTCGCCATAGTCGCGGCCCACGTGCCCGACCTCGAGATTGTCGGCTACGACGGCGCGCGCCACCTGCGCCCCGTGGCGGAGAAGAACGGGCAGGGCACCGCCGCGGCTTCGGGGGCGCGGCGGCCAAGAACCCAAGCGAGCCCAGGCCAGGTCGCGAGCCGGAGCTGGCCAGGTGGCAGCCTCCACGCACCGGGTCCGCGAAGGCAGGCGGGCCCCACGTGCCCCCCCCCAAACCCCTGTGAGCCAGGGGGGATTGGCGCGGATCCCCGTTCGCGCGGACCCCCGCTACGTGAGGAGGAGGAGCGGGAGGATGAGGAGGAAGAGGAGGAGGAGGAGGAGGAGGAGGAGGAGGAGGAGGAGGAGCAGGAGGAGGAGCGGGAGGAGGAGGAGGAGGAGGAGGAGGAGGGCGGAGCAGGAGGAGGAGGAGGAGGAGGAGGAGGAGGGGGGGAGGTGGGAGGAGGAGGAGGAGGAGGAGGAGGAGGAGGAGGAGGAGGAGGAGGAGAGGGAAAGGGGAGGAGGGGAGGAGAGCAGGATGAGGAGGGGAAGGGGGGGGGGGGGGGGGGAAGGGGATTTTTTGTTGCTGTATGCGACTGCGCAGGCAAGCTTCAGTAGAGATTGACAGGCAGGCTGGAAAACGAGGCGACGGACCCACCCACAAGCGCTGCTGCTACGAGCGGCGCCGCGAGTGCCAATCCCACGATCATCGGGGCGAGTCGCACTGTAAAGCAGAAGCTACAGACATAAAGCGCACCGCAATAGAGTCCCCTGCGGCGCGCAGCCGCGAAGCCACGCGGACGGCAGGGGAAATTAGCCACGGCTTCAGGCAGAGCTCGGAAATTACAAGCTCACCGTCCGCAAAATAGCGGAAGCCGCCGAAATCGAAATGCGCCGAATTCGTCGTAACCTCATCCGCCTCGACCCCAGGAAGCAGCCCCAAAAGACCGGCTGCCTCAACCGAGGGAGGCCCACAAGGTGATGTGGGAGGCGCCGAATCGAAACCGCCATCGGCCTCAATCGCACAGGTGCAGGCGATCGCAACCTGAGGCGCCTCTACCGAAGGAGGCTCCTCCGCAACACGATCCACATCCCTGCGAACTGACTGGCTGAGGGTCGACATGGCAGCGAGAAAGGCCTCGCCACTCCTTGAAGTACCGTCGTGGCGAGCCTCGGCAACTGGAGCTCAACCAAACATCCATTACAATCAAGGCGATCCTCAAAAGGAGGCTCAGCCGTGCGAGCATGATGTGTATGATTCCCAAGCAACGGGAATGCTCCTATATCTGCAACGCCGACGTTGTGATGAGCATACCCGCCCTCGGTGGATAATGAGATGGGTGCCTCAACCGAAAGAGGCAAGCCCTGAAACACTTCCACCACGGGTGTGTCATGGCAGGTCAAGGTCGCAAATGTAGTACCATCCTCGAGATCCTGAGACGATTCAAAAAGGCGAGCCTTATCCGAGGAAGGCTCAGCCCCAAGAGGGAAAGGTGGACACGCTGAGCGAGCCTCTCCACAAGGCTCAGCCAAAACCGCATGATCCACCAAAACTTCATTATCTTGGCTTCCGCCAGATGTGGTCTCAGCCACGCCATCGGGAGAACTTTCCAAAGAAAGGCCTTCGTTATTCTTTTTGGCCCGTCGCCTACGCCGCGAGCGATCTCCGAAAAAGTACTCCTGCACCGTCATCTCCTCCGCCTCGGCGGCGTGCGCACCAGCCTGGCAGGCGTCGGCGGGGGCGGCACGTTCGCCATCCGCGGCCTTGCCTTCGGAAGTGGCGGAGGCGGCGTCGGCAGGCGCTGTGTAGCCACACCCAGGGCCGACACTGCAGCAGGAGGGGGCTGAGGCCACTCCTTCAGCCCCATCTTGGCTACCTCCGACCTGGCGTCCTTTTTCTTCTTGTTCTTCTTCTTGCGTTTCCGTGGGTCGTTCCACCTTGGCCTTGGGTTTTGGGCTTCGCCGGAGGAACAGGCGGCGGCGCAAGTACTGCCCGCACCTTCGTCGTAGCCGTTGGCGGCGGCGGGGGCTGCACTGGGCCTGGCTGCAGATGTACGGGTTGAGCCAAGGAGGAGAGCGGCTGGGCCTGAGGGGGGCGCGCCGAATCCGAAGCAGCCTCCAGACGTTTCCACCTCCGCAGGCGCTTCACTGGCAACACCTCCTCTGGCTGCCCCTCCTGCACCTGATGCAGCAAAGTGCGACTGTAGCTGTGGAGCTCCTTGTCCACCACATCGAAAGGACTCCATATGCCTGGCGGATGCGGCGTCGGCAGCTCCCCAGGCAAGTCCTCCACCCCCTCCTCCGCCGTCGAGGATGACGAACTCGATCCCGTCGACGGGGAAACCGAGGGCATGAGCGAAGTCATTGATACGTGCACCAAGCGAGGAGCCCAACACATGCTCCGGCACGTAGAAGCGCATGAACTGGTAACCGCAGCCTTTACCTCCCACTTGCGCGGCGCCATGGCAGCACCGCGCCTCAAGGCGCAACGGACGTTAAGCGGGAGGCGGACGCAGGAAAACGGCCTTGAGCCAAAATGGCTACGGAGGGGGAGGAAGGGGAGGAGGAGGAGGAGGAGGAGGAGGAGGAGGAGGAGGAGGAGGAGGAGGAGGAGCAGACGAGGAGGAGGAGGAGGAGGAGGAGGAGGAGATTTCCAGGAATTCCGCCATCGTATAATGATAACCAGGAGGAGGAGGAGCAGGAGGAGGAGGATGAGGAATTCCGCCATCACATAATGATAACCAGGCTTAAAGCTCAGCACTTGGGGAACAGGCCGCGTCCAATCCTGTCGAAATATTCGCGCCTGGCCTTCGAAACGGGCACTCTGCACGGCTCCGCTAGCCCTCTGAGCTGGGCCTGACCGAAGAAGCCGCACGTGCCGCAGTACCACAATTGAAAGTCTTTATGATAAATCTGAGCGTGCGTGGGATGGGTCCACCCCCCAGCCATGTGTAAACGCCGTCCCGTCGGATCACGGGCTAATTGACTGTTCACATGCTGGAGTTGGAAGCGCTCACTTTTTAATCATCCCGACAACGCCGCCTGGGTCGCAGAGCCTTTACGCACACTACACGCCCTACCGTGTTCGGTCAGGGTGTGGGCGGACGCGAAGCGTGCCACAGCAATAGGAGGGGGGGGAGGCGGAGGTGGAGGCCCCGAGCGGACGGCCCCAGCCTCCCCCGACAACCGAGAGGGTCGAGTGGAATCCAGACCGACTCTTATGTGCAATGGACAAGTCCCGGTGACGACTGGCCTGGGAAACTCGCCCGCAGAGGGCGGCCCGACTTAAGAATAGCGCCCGGATCGAAGCACACATCGCCGGAGGTATGGTGCGGCCGCTGGCCGTCTCCAAAGGGCAGCTCCGCTCTCGCGCGGCCCACGAATGCGAGCACGACGACGACGTCGATGATGATGATGCTGCTTCTGCTGATAATGACGACGATGATGATGATGACGATGACGTTGACGACGATGACGATGATGATGATGATGATGGTGATGATGATGATGATGACGATGATGATGATGATGATGATGATGAAGATGACAATGACGATGACGATGACGATGACGATGATGACGATGACGATGACGATGACGATGACGATGACGATGATGATGACGATGATGATGATGATGATGATGATGATGATGATGATGATGATGATGATGATGATCCACGATTCCCTGGAAGGGAAGCGCGGCCAACCTCCAGGCCACACGCACTGCCAGAGCGGGCAGTGGCCGCGGAGGCCCAGCGCGAGCCCGCCCATCGGCTCCCGGCTCCCCTGCCCTCCGGCGGCGGCGAGCGAGACTGCGGCTCCTCGGCCTCGGCGCGTCTCTCTCGCGCCAGCGGCCTGGGAGGAGGAGGAGGAGGAGGAGGAGGAGGAGGAGGAGGAGGAGGAGGAGGAGGACGAATAAGCATAATAATACTACTACTACTACTACTGCTAATAATAGCGCCAGCGGCCTGGGGCCGCCCTTCGTGAGGCGGAGGCCCCCTCGCAGCGGCCTCGGGGCCTCGGCCTGGTGGCCCGAAGCACCGGGTCGCACGGCTTCACGACGCGCGCGCCCCCGGCGAAGCAGCCGCAGGCGGCGCAGTGCACGATAGTGGTGACGATGTTGCTGATGGTGATGGCGACGGTGACGGCGATGGCGATGATGCTGGTGCTGGTGCTGATGCTGATGAAGATGAAGATGAAGATGAAGATGATGATGATGATGAAGATGGAGATGATGATGATGATGAAGATGAAGATGAAGATGATGATGATGATGATGATGAGGATGATGATGATGATGATGATGATGAGGATGAAGATGATGAATATGATGATGATGATGATGGTGATGATGATGATGATGATGATGATGATGATGATGATGATGATTCTGATGATGGCGGTGATGATAGTGGTAAGGGTGATAATCATACTGGCAATTTCAATGACACAAGCAAAAACGATGACGATGAGGATGCTGCTGCTATTACTGATGATGATGCTGCTGCTGATGATGATGATGACGATGGTGATGATGATGACGATGATGATGATGATGATGGTGCTGCTGATGATGATGATGGTAATGATAATCATGGTGTTGATGGCGTTGATGACAATGGTTACAGTGATGATGACAATAACGACGACGATGACGATGATGACGACGATGTGATAATGATGCTACTGATGGTGATGACGATGACGACGACGATGACCATGACCATGATGATGATGATGATGATGATGATGATGATGATGATGATGATGATGATGATGATGATGACGATGACGATGACGATGACGATGATGATGATGATGATGATGATGATGATGATGATGATGCTGCTGCTGCTGATGCTGCTGCTGCTGCTGCTGCTGAGGAGGAGTGTTGTGTGATGCATGCCTTCGGCAAGGAGGACGAGGCTTCCCGATCGCGCACCGCGAGCCGCCGCGAGCCACTCCGCGCCCTCGCTGCGGCCCCCGCGCCCCTGGGCGCCTCGGCTGCCGGGCGGCCCGCCCGCGCCGCGCGCCGGGCCCCCCGCGGCGTGCGCGGCCTGCCGCGCCGGGTGCTCCTTCGGCGCCATCGACGGGCGCGGGCGCGGCGCCCTCGTGGCCTCCGCGGCGTGCGCGCGGGCGCCGCCGCCGCCGCTGCCGCCGCCGCCGCGGCCGACGTCGTGGGCGCGAGGCAGATCGGCTGGCGCCCCCTGAGAGGCACCGACCCTCCTCCTCCTCCTCCTCCTCCTCCTCCTCCTCCTCCTCTCCTCCCTCCTCCTCCTCCTCCTCCTCTCCTCCTCCTCCTCCTCCTCCTCCTCCCCCCAGGAGGCCCGCAGGAGCCCACCGGGAGGCCCCCAAGACGCACCAGGGGGGCACCAAGAGCCCCCCCGGGAGACACGACAAGCGACTCCGGGTGGCATCCAATAGGCCTCTAGTTCACTGGGGCTCCCCGAGGCGTCCAGATCGTGCCAAACTCCCCCGAGAAAGGCAGTTCCTTTAGGCGGCGGGGAGCCACGTCGACGGCGGCGGCGGGGGGGGCGGCGGCGGCGGCGGCGGCGACGACGACGGGGGGCGGGGGGGAGAAGGGGGGGACGGGCGGACATACATCTCCGAAACCTGGGCGGTGCGTGGATGACAGCGGCAAGGCGCGCGAATGCATCTCCCGCGGCCACGATAGCCAACAGAAAGCACGGCCCGAGCTTTGGGAAACCGCTGGGGAGCGAGGGGTCAGCAACCAACGATGGAAAGCCACACAAAAGCCGTGCACTTCAAAGCTGCGTAAGAACCAGCGATGTTGAATCGTCAGACGTGCTGGTAGAGCGATGATCTTGTTTCGATTGAAACTTCCTTGCTTCTTCTGGCCCTGACTCTTGCAAAACATCCAACCGCCAAACAATTACATGTGGGTGCCATTTTTGATAACTGCGGCTCTCACCTTGACGCCACGCACAGCCTTCCCCAAAGCGTTCAATTGCCACACGGATGCAGGGCGATGTGGTTTCTAATTTACCGCCTTCGCGCCGCGCGCAATCGTCGCAAAAAGGTAACCAGCTACGCGGATGGCGGTCGGCTGATACTAGAAACAATGATCTCGCGCTAGCGCCACACACTATTCTCAACAATTTTCAGCACCAGCACGAATGGGGGCGGCGTGTTTTCAAAATGTGGCCCTCGCGCTAACATGTACCCAGACGGACGACGGCTGGTGTGCAAAACGAGGCTCTCACTGGACATACTCTTAAACATGCCAGATACCACAATGATAAAAGAGAGCTCAATGTATAGCAGGGCTCCCGCTCGAGACGCCCTCGAACTTTGCGGCCAAGAGGGTTTAAACATGTGCAACAACTACATGGATGGAGGGCCGTCCTTGTTCAAAACGGTGATCTCGCACTTCCATCTACCTACGGCGTTGACACAGCCAGTCAACCAATGAACTTCCGAACAAAGCGCTGTGCAAAACGGGGGTTCGCAAACTGCCTGCACGTCGACACGTGACGACTCTCGGGCTGGGCGAAAGGGGGGGATAGCAAAGGGGGGGTTTGAGAATCAGCTCACGTAGCTGATGTTCCCGGTGCCTCCCGGCGCCGGAGGCGGCTATGTATCGAGGAATGTGCCCCTCGGTGGGGCCGATACCAGCTGCATGAAGCAAATTTCGTAACCCCCCCCTTTCCCAATCCCCCCCTTTCGTCAGGCCCAAAACTCTGTGACAACACCCCACCGTTGCTGTACGCATCCATGGTAGAACCGCGTCCTTGTGAAGGACTCGCCGTGAACATGATCGACCCACGAACCCCGAAAGGAATCTAGACATCTAAAGCATGGCAACGTTTCAAAGACACCTGATTGGGCGACGGGCAAACGCAATGCTGAGTTTATCGATCTTGATGTACCCTGCCGAAGGCTGTGCTGTGCTGCGCCGTGCTGAATTGCGATGTGCCATGCCGCGATTGTGCTCTATAACGTTGTGGATCGAGTCCTCCTTTGCATCCGAGTCCTGACCGAACTGATCTGGATCTTAAGCTCGAGCTGCCTCAGCACATAGTAGCTGCCCCAGAGCTAATTCACAAGGGAACATGCCAGGAGGACGTGCCGCGGAACGTTCCAAGGGACGCGCCAGGCGACGTGCCAAAGGACGTGCCACGTAGACGCACCGCGGGACGTGCCGAGGGGACGCGCTACGGAACGTGCCAATGGACGTGCCACGGGACGTGCCAAGGGACGCGCCGCGCGACGTGCCAGGGGGACTCGCCACGGAACGTGCCAAGGAACGTGCCAAATTGCAATGCTGAGTGTATCGATCTTAATGTACCCTGCCGAAGTCTGTTGTGCTGCGCCGTGCTGAATTGCGATGTGCCATGCCGCGATTGTGCTCTATAGCGTTGTGGATCGAGTCCTCCTTTGCATCCGAGTCCTGACCGAACTGATCTGGATCTTAATCTCGAGCTGCCTGAACACATAGTAGCTGCCCAGAGCTAATTGACAGGGGACATGCCAGGAGGACGCGCCGCGGAACGTCTCAAGGGACGCGCCAGGCGACGTGCCAAGGGACGTGCCACGAGGACGCACCGCGGGACGTGCCAAGGGGGCGCGCTACGGAAAGTGCTGGGGACAAGCGTTTCGCTCGAGACATCCTGTCAACATCCTCATGCTAGACATCCGCCTGAGCGACCTGGACACGTGAAAACAAGCGTTTCGCTAGACATCCGCCTGGGCGACCTGTACACGTGAAAGCAAACGTCTCGCTCGAGACATACTCAACACATCTTCATCATCCACCTGGGCGACCTGGACACGTGAAAACAAGCGTATCTCTCGAGACATTCTTCACACATCCTCATGCTAGGCATCCGCCTGGGCAACCTGGACACGTGCAAACTAGCATCTCGATCGAGACTTCGTCAACACATCCTCATGCTAGACATCCGCCTGGGCGACGAAGACGCGTGCAACCAAGCGTCTCGCTCGAGACATCCTCAACACATCCTGGCGCTAGACCTCTGCCTGAGCAATCTGGAGGCGTGAAACCAAGCGTCTCGCTCAAGAAATCCTCAAGACCTGGGCACGTGAAAACAAGCATTTCACTTCAGAGATCCTCTGAATTCTGGCCCCCAGGAGAGGACAACCTATAACACAAAACAAGCGTTTCGCTCGAGGCATCCTCAACAAAATCTGAAAAACAAGCGTTTCGCTAGGGACATCCTCAAATTTTAATTCGCCGGCCCACCTCGACCTCGATATTTATCGCAAAACAAAAAATCGCCGGCCCACCTCAAGTCAAACCCGGAGGTAAACCAACTAGAGAACCCTGGGCCTAAGCCCTTTCCGGGAAAAAATCAAGCCGCTCAACATTGAATCAGGAAATCGGGTCGAATCAGACTGTGCATCGGTTCGGGCTGCATCGGCAAAGAATCGAGATCAAATCGAAATCGACCGCGCCAAAATGCGCACCGACACCATACAAACATCGGACCGCATCGGAACTTCTGACCCGGGTCAATCCAGACAGGGGTCAGTCAGGCCTTGCAAGATCCTGCGCCCAAACCCGGGTCAGTGCGCCCCTGGCCCTGCAAGATCCTGCAAAATGCGGTGCTGTGACTGACCCCCGCTTGCACTGACCCCCGTCTCTTGAGCCCCGATCAGAATCGAACCGGATCAGGCCGGCCGAAATCGATTTCGGATCGAATCGATCCGATCGCCTGAAGGCGTTGAAAATAGATTGGGCTCCGTCCGCCCCCTGAGGATGACGGAGCATGTGACATCACTCCATCATTGAAGCAGGAAGGCGCTTACGTAAAAGAGATTGGCATCTAGGAATCCACAGAAATCCCACCAGCCCTTTAGGGCGTGAGTGGTTTAGCGAGCCCCCTCTGTCCTCAACCCCCCAACCCCCTTCTTCCCCTTCGGGGAGGGGTTTACCCCTCCCCCTCCCCCCTCCCCCTGGGCCTGGAGAGGGACTCCGGCGGGTCGTCAGAGGGGTCTTTTTCGACTCCTGGGAGGGCCAAAAAACGACGACCCTCACGAGGATTCTGCCCCCGACGGGGGGACGCACTTAAATCCCCCCCCTCTTCTGTGAAGCCAAGATCTACCTTCAATCACCGATGGGCATCGGATCGAACCGATCCGATCGCCGGAAGAGTTCCGGACGCGGTGCTGCGGCCCGTGCGTGGGCCCCAGGATGCGACGGAGGCGGCCCCGGCGGCGCTCCACCCGCCAGGCGCCCTGGCCAGGGGCGCCCCCCGATGTCGACGGGCTCCAGCGCGCTTGTTCCCTGCTAGGCACTTGATCGGGCTTGGCGTTCCTGGCTTTTGCTTGCGCGCTTCCTCAAACCATGGGGATGGGCCGTCGGCGCTTTTCGAGACTGCGCCCTCGCCCGAAAAATATACACGTGGGACGATCGACATTCAAAGAGATCCCTCCCGCAATGAAGCGGAATACTGTTGCGACCTTTGAGCGCCTGGGACGGAAAGTAGTATCGCAACATCGTTGATACATCCTGGGTCTACTCTTTCCTCCTCCTCCCTCCTCCCTCCTCATGGCTCCTCCCTCCCTTGCTTCTTCTTCTTCTTCTTCTTTTCCTCCCTCAGGTCTCCCTTCTGCCTCTGCCCCTCCTGATCAGGACTCCGAAACGAGCCCCGCCGTGGCGGAAGAGGACACCTCGGGAACGCCGAAGAAGGGCCCAGCTCACGGACAGCAGCCTCCCCCCAGTCGCTTCCCCTCTTTCTGCTTCTCACGGAAGCCCAAACACACTCAATAAGGCCCCAGCACCTCTATCCATTTCCTCCTCCTTCCCCTCCTCCTCCTCCTCCCAGCCGCCGTCTAGGACTCGAGGCAAACGAGTTCGGCTGGCAAGAGAATCACGTTTCCCCTCAGGCTTACGCGCCTTGTCGGGTGCTGGTGTCTCGGTCTGGAGGGCTCCCACGCTCTTGCTCTCTCTGCTTGCATTGGCACGAGGCGGATAATTAAATATGCGCATCGCGGCCTACAGCCCCATGTGGGTTAGTTTCGGAGGCCCCCTGGGGTTGGGACATAGTGCTGATTCCAGGGCCAAACATGAGGGACTTGCGATGGAACCACTTACGCAAGGGAGGATGGGCAAGCATTGGGGGTTGCGCAGCGG